TATCAAAGAGATCTCCGTACTAGAAGTATTCTAAACTGTGAAGAATACAACCCCGGGGGTAAAAAATGACACCAGGGCGTACGGATAGGGTTAAATGAAATCGTATGAAAAAAGAAGTAGATCTAGGCCTTCTGTATGCAAATTCTTAGATGTGTTTAGTTACTGTAACTGACGGGACCGGAAAAGTATAATATTACATAATTTGTCCCGTAATGTACCGTGAAATGACCCTTACAGCGACCCAGAATGTCTCGCACCGTGCATAGAGTGGTGACCTCTATATTATGCATATTAGGTCAAGAGCTCATTATTACCTCAGAATAATAAAGTTATGTCTGCTCAGTAGAGGGTGCGGTGGCGGAGCGGTTAGTGCGCTCGTCTCCGAAGTGGAACGTCCGGGTCCGCGTCTCGGTTTGGACATGGATTTTTTTCGCCCCCCTCCTGGTTATGAGTACTTGACTTCGGGGTGGGGCGGCGTGGAGAAGAACTGGCCACCCTATCACAATATCATGCTGAAGGCCAAGAAAGTTGCTTTACTAACAAGGAAATCCCCAATGTCTGGATCGGAAGCGGGAACGACTTTACTTTATCTGATCTGTACCTGATCTCATCCCGTGCTAGATCTGCGGCAGGCATCGATGTCTATGGTTCTCCATTCATTCCTGTGCTCGGATACTCTTAAGAAAGCTACGTTACCCTGATCTTTCCCCGTTACCCATTTATTGTTTAGGTTCCCTAAGTAGGTTGCTCTGGGCCTACCCTGCCTCGTTTGCCTTCAGTTTTGCCAGTGAGAGCTAGAGCAAGATGTTCAAGTACCTAGTTTTGAGAAATTTGACATCAAAGATTTTGAGTTTCACATCATGTCAAGCTTTTTTGAATGCAATTCTTGGAATATTTTGATGACCACTCAGAATAATCCTACGACTTTGATATATTAATTTCAGCAAGAGTTTTACGGCACTTGCAACACAATAAGTTTATATAAGTGCCGAAGATTAGAGGTGTTACAAGCGAGTAACAAACATAAAAAAGAAGGAGGTAATTCTGAGGTTGCGAACAGAAGTTACATTCAATAGGCTTATAGTTTATTTTAAATACTAATCAATTTACTACTTCTCCCGCCTAGCCAAGGACGTAGCAGACAGCTAACCATGTGACCGCTGATATATAACGCTGCTGTTTCATTGTTAAAAGTACAGTATAATTATGCAGTTCCTACAGTTTTACGGGAAAGCAATATGTGAGGTAGCGTGGTAAAATGAGGCTCTCGTCAATATTTGGGCATGTAGAGTTATTTGTATCACCTTAAAGCTTGTTCACTTGTCTTTATTTGGCGAAAAAAATATCCAGTTCTTGAATACAAGTCGAGATATTTGCGAAAGAAGGAGGTGGGGGTCACCTGTTTTCAGAGGCAAAATTAGTGAGAAAATGGCCGCCGAAGATTAGTTATTTCCTTAGCTTAAGAGTCATAAAAATCCAGACAGAAATGAGTCCTTGAATGGGCATGAAAGGTGTTGTACCAAAAAAAAAAAAAAGACATTGATAAAACTTCACA